AAGAAAAGACTCGATGGTGTCAAGAGGGCTTATGCTTATATTGTAGAGAAGCTAAACACACTACTTTATATTGTCTAAAGAAACAACGCAACCACAAAATGAGAAGCATGGTTGCCAAAGAAGACAATGTGTCGAAAAACGAATTTCTCTAGTTACAATAGGAACTATGCAATTAGAATCTTATATAACTTCTAGCAAAGGTCCTATTTTCTCTTCAAATCTCTCACCTTGTTTTACAATAGAAGTTTATTTAGAACCAAAAAATCACAAAATATTAGCTTTGTTAGATTTAAGAGTCTCAACCTGTTTTATAGACAAAGATTTTGTTAAAAAATAAGAGATATTATTGGTCAAAAAAACTATACATGTACATATAGAAGTCATGGATGGTCATTTGCTATCTTTTGGAGATGTTATGTATGAAATTGTTCTTTTAGATGTAGCAATTAAAGATCATAATAGCATAGCAATATTTAATGTAATAAAAATCTCTGTCCAATCCTATTATTTTAGGATTATCTTGATTAAAAAAGTATAATCTTTAGATAGATTGGATTTCTTACAACCTTAATTTTTTTGATAGTTTAATCCAAAATCTCGTTAATTAAGTAGAAATACATAAATCTAGTACATCCAAACTCTTATTGATAGATCAATAGCATAGGTTTTTATTAATATTATATAAGACATCTTTGATATAATATAAAGAAATAACAAAGACTTTTGATTAGCCATAAATACAAAAATTTGAGGAATTCAAGGAACTTGGAGAATAAAGAAACATAGAAAATAGAAAACATGATAATGTGAAAACCAAAGAATATAGAAACATGGAAATATAGAAATTAGAGAACTTAGAAATCTAAAAATTAGAGAACATGAAAATGAGTGAATATGGATGAACAAGAGAATGAATGGATGTGTCAAAGATTGTAATTCTCAACATCATGGATTTAAACTAATATGTATATATATATATATATATATATATATTAAAAAAATTATTATTTGAAGCTCATAATGTGGTATAGGCTACTTCAACTTTTTTTCTAAGCTTGTATTACTAGCCATATCTTACACGTCAATAGTATCACATCATATTGCCACAATCAGTATTAAGATTAATGTATCTATATAATCCGCCATGCCTTTAGATTGTCATGCTATCATGCCTTTAGATTTCTTATCCTATCAATTATCAATATTGCTATGCAAACAAACAAAACAAGTAGTGTTTAAATTAAAATTTTATTTGTTTTAAATATTTTTGAATAAGTTAGTTTTATAAATATATTTTAATGATTTTTTTCAATTGAATTTAGTTTTAAATGGATCTAAACTTAAATTCTTTTGAAGAAGAAGATGTTATAGATAAAATCATTGTTAAGCAAATCAAAGCCAAAATTATTAAAACCATAATGATGCAAGATGACAACAATAGTAAAGAATTTGATATGATATATTGATAGAAATATTTCAAATATTTTTTTGTATAGAGATATTATTGATTCTTAATATTATTTAGAATATTTTAAATATACGTTTAAAAAATCATATGATGTTTTATTTATTTCAATCATTTTTTATGCATAAAAATAATTTAAATAATTCTTTTTTTTAATAAAATAATATTACAATATACTACTAATTCCTAATTCTACTGCAATTTAACATTCTTTTATTTTACTTTTAGAACCACACAACTTTTCTCCAGGAACTTAAAAATCATTATTAAAACAAGCATAAGTGTACTTGTCAATCAACTCCGAGTTTGCATTTTCTTTGCTTAAGCTTCTAATCACAATTATGGTTTACTTTGGTTTATTTGATGAAGCCATTGACACTTAATTGGAAGCAAAAACATAATGCAATGAAGTAAACAAAGATATTAATAGATTCCATCAAAATGAAGCATGACAATCTCCTTACCACCAACAATTGTACTATATGATACATATATTGCGACATTGTTTTTATCATTGAGCACAATAATATATTTCTTAAACATGTGATATATTGATTGCTTATAATTTATTACTTCCAAACATGTAGCAATACCAAGTCCAATCATTGATTCCATGGCTTGATTGCCCAACTATAACATATGTGCTTGCCATGGCCAATGTTGCCACAATTGCTACAATATTGCTTCTTCTTTGTTATAAGCTCAAATGCAAATGGCTAGGGTATTATCAATAATTTGGTTGTATTCTTTGTTCCCATTAGTTGTCATTTTGGCTTGTTTACTCATGGATTGATAAATATCAAGTTCTTTCTTGCACTCAGATCTACCACCTATGTACAGGCTACTATTTGTTCACTTGGCAACCATAACAAGTTTTTTTTTTTTTTTTTTTTTTTCTTTTTCTTTTTTTTTTCTTTTTCTATCATACACAAGTGCTACTGAAATTATTTAAACTTGTTGTAGTCATTATCATATAATATGACAATATTTGGATCTCCAATTTCATTCAAATGACAATGTTGATGCATCAATGCAAGATTAATGATGCCATACAATGCCATATTAATTATCAAAGGCATATAAAAGGCCCATTGTCTAACAAAAAGTATTATAAGATATGTGTAATAAAGTTTTGGTTGTTACTCATACCAAAAGCTCTTGATGCTCTCTTAGCAACTTGATTATAAAGACTAGTATTTCTTTGACCAAATTAGGAAGAAAAAATGATATAGCATAAGGTGTGTAGAATTTGTATTTTTTTACTCCCAATTGTTAACTATAATTTTATAGCTTAATTAGTAATAGCTTGTACTGTCTACAGTTACATATTATGCAAGTCTCTTGTTGACACTTGTAAATATCTCTTTAATATAATAGAAATTCTTTCTATATATAATATCAAAGTATTGCTAAGATGCAAGAAATTTGTTATCCACAATGTTGCAAACTTTTCTTTGTACAATAACTACATCTCTTTAAGGTATTGCACATATTTTCATACATTAATAAAGCCAAGCTGATGTTCTTTATGTGGCATTAAATCTTGCCACGAAATTGACTTAAAATATGCATGTCGAAGTTTATAACAACTCCTACCATCAATCTTTAAATTTCCAAAACTTCTTATAATAGTAAGTATATACTTTTTAATGTGCCACAAGATTAGCAAGTATTGACTTTTTGAAAAAACAATAGCAATTGCTTTGATCAAGTTAAGGACTAAGTCTATAACAATGGCTTTTGTGACACTTTTGTTGGCTTAAAGAGTGCAAATGTAAGCAAGAGGCCATTTGTACTCAACCACATCTTTTCTATTGATGAAGATAAAACAAATAAAGAACATAATATTTAACCTAATTTGTGCCACAATATTCAAAATTGGCATTTCAAATCAATTCATCTTTTAAGTATAATCTATAAGCAAGACAAACAAATAAAGAGTTCAATCAAAGTGTCTAGTTTGAACCACTATTTAAAGTAGAAACTCTAAACAAGTAATAACATTAAAATGGATGGATAAATGAAATGACATCAAAACAAAGTGGAAGAAATATTAAATTACGTTATGAATGTTGCAAATTGAATATTTTGATGTTGAATGTAAAAAATTAAAGAAAAATCTTTAATAAAAAGAGTATTTTGTGACCAAAATCAGTAGTTCCAAATCAAATTTGAAAAATATAAACATACTATTAGATACTAAAAATAAACAAATAAAATAAGAATAAGAATAATAATTGCATATATGCCTCAAAAGATGATATAGTACATATTCACTTTTGATGAGTGTGATAGTGTCTGTTACACATGAAATTCTTGGAGACAGCCCACAATTTCAGACTTAAGTCATAAATCAAAAGCAATAAACATGCTTAATTACGTGAGAGAAATGGATGAGAAGGTGAAGCCCAAGAAATCATACAACATAGCTTAGCAGATGTGAAGGAGAGAGAATCTAGATAAGTAATAAAAAAATCGTTACACTCATTTGACAAGACTGGACAACTCATACGATATTTATTCAAATGATATATATATGTCAATGGGATGAAGTGACTTAGCAGCCGCTACTGTAAAAACTGGAAGAGGCTTGTTGTACATGGTTGTACTATGTTTTAAGTTGTACTAGAATTATTAAACATCAAAATTTAAATGAAAAACGGACAGAAAAGAGAGGCATCACAGCAGTACTAACCGATCATGATTAAACTCGTGGCCGGGTTGCGCAAGGTCTCAAGAGTGTGGATACCTAGGCGTTAGATGTAGGATATCTGGCGTTCACTGAAGGATTTGCTAAATGGCTGAAAGCAACGCAAGGCGGGCTAGGTATCCTGGTTAATGGCAGCCCCAGTTCCTCAAATCCTTCACTTGAATTCTGACCGTGTTGAGTAGTTTGTTGCAGAGATTGAGTACCAAGATATTTACTTAAGAATTTCGGTTCGACGCTTGAAAAGCCTACTGTAGGGTAAGCCAATCGGACTTAACTTGAATTCTGCAATGAATGGAGGCATGTGCAGGTAAACTACGCCGCATTGGCAAAGTCTCGAAAAGGTGAACAGAGGTTAAATTCGAGACGTTAATACCAAACACTTCGGGACTATGAATCTCTCTCCGATTGATATAACCTGATCTGAGTACATGGTTTCTACCAGCATCGAAGTGAGTTTGGGAATGAGTAGATTTTTCTGCACATCAAGCTCAGCTTTTGATCGCAACCCTAAGTCGGATAAATGGCAGCATCTCTGGAGGCATGAACAGCCGCAAGGCCAGAAATGTAGGCACTTGCGTAACACAAAGGCTTTCTCGACGAGAAATTAGTATTAATAAATCAATGGAATTGAGAGATAATTCCCTATTCATGAACACCCCCTGCGTTGGAATCAGATATGCTCAAGAGCCTGCTCTAAATCCTACTCAAGTTTGATACCATTAACATCTACGAGAGTTCTGGTCGAAGCACACATCATGAGCAACCGTTACTGCATAAAGAGCAATGCAAACAATATACCTCACGGCTTCACCAGCAGACCAAAAAAACACAAAAAAGAACAAGATACAAGTATAAGAACATTCTTTGTACACCGTAATATGTTCAGGACCTGAATTAAGTCTTATGACATAACTCGAAGCATGTGCTTTTAGGTTGAACGCATCAATGATACTTTGGTATGGTACAAAAGAGAATACTAGATAGATCACACTTCTAAGAGAATAAGATGAATTTAAACCAGTTTAATCTTTCTTGCCAGTGGAGAACTACCACGACTTGCCAACTTGGAACCAATTTTGTGGAAAAGAAAGACGAATAGAAGAGCTACAGCAGAAACTGTGAGTGTGCCCTCAGGTTGTCTCGATGGCCTTATAAAAGGATGTGGGTACTCCTGTGCAAAACAGCATTTTCCGTTTCAAAACCACCAGACTGCTTAGAATATCAAAACAAGAAGTTATCGTACCTCAGAATTGACATTCATGGAACAGCACGTGAGCAAAAGTGGATCCAAAATTACATCCTGCAATTTATTTGTGAGAGCAACTGTCCTAGTCCTCCCAGCAAACTCTTTCAAAGGATTTAAATGCGACATAACTCTTTCCAAGGATGAAAGCCCACCTCGTTTCGAGCTTCGCATACGTGCACCCAACACGTGTAAATGGTTCCAAATACGAGTGTCATATAAAGAGTCAGTCTCCTGGACCACCCATCCCACCCAATTCAGCATCAGAAATTGAGCATGAAAAGCATCAATATCACTCTCTAATGCATCTCACACAACTAGCCCAACCCTACCACAGCCTACAACAATATTATTTATGATTTTTCAACAAACTTGCGATAGCAACTAAAACACGCCAAAGAATGAATGTCAAATCAAATCGTATGCTAACATACAGTTGATGCCTGGTTACAAAACTAAAAGAAAAGCGCACAAAATATCCAGGGTAGCGCTCAAGCAGGTGGGCTCTGAAATGAAGCGTGACGCATTCCTATTTGTTGAATGGAAATGTGCTGCGAAATGCTAAACAATGAGCTACGCAGAAATACCTGAAATTACGCTCTGTAATGAGAATGTCAGCCCAAGAGATGCCAACAATTCCAATGTTGAGGACCAATGTTAACCACAAGGGACATCCTATTGACCTGCGATTGAGCAAAAAATTCGTTAGTTGCCATTTTTGAAGAATGTAAGTTCCCATTCGAAACACCTATCAATTTCTAGAGGTAGACCTAAGAGTACCACATAATATGTAGCTTGAACTAAAACTTCAGAGTCATTCCAGGACATGAACAGGAAAGAACTAAATAAGCCGGCTGGAAATATAAAGGTAGGATACATACAGTCCCTTTTGCAATGTTTTCCGTGCGGCTTTATCCCATCCCAATAAAAGAGGGTCTGACGTCCAGAAGGTTACGGCCCAGTACACTAGGGTGACAACATTGACTATTTCAAAGCTGGCACAGGACATATCATTCGCTGATCGCTTCAACACCTTCTCCTGTTATCAAATAGAAAAATCTTTGATCACGGATACCTAAGATGACTGACTGTTCACGCTACTTCGCAATTCAAAACTCGTGGTGAATATTGTACAAGGATGCCAACCAAGTTTGTGCAAATATGGATTTCAAAAAAGACCTGAAAACTTTACAGTTCACAATGATAGCACAAATCCGAGTAGTGACATTGACTTTGGAACCCACTGCCCGATTTCGAGACTTCACTCTCAGAGTACAGCCCAAATATCAATACAAGTCAGCCCACACAAATCTTAAAAATATGAGGATGACCATGATAGCTCATCCTTCAATAGAAGCTAATATTCTCGAAGGATTCCGTGTGAAATCATTCCATGTTGATGATGGCCTGCATACCTCAGGAAAGAGATGGGAGAGAAGAGAGGTCATTAAAGCGATCATCTGAAACGAGAAGCCGCAGAACGTTAAAAACTGCACAGACCAAGTGAATAACACCAAATTATTTAACACCAAAACCATAGCAAGCATCCTGAATGTGAATTACAAGAGATTACCATGATCTAAACGAAAAAGACAAAACAAAATATAAATATAAAAAAAAGGATCGAGTTTACGCATTTGCTCCAGCTTGTGCAAAAACATCTGGCATGCTGAAGATACTTCCTAAGCAAATCGCATGTTCAACGTAGATTCTAAAGACTGCCGTGAAATGAATACTTTTGATCCAAGAGACAACGTACCTTGAAGAACCAGCCAAAATCCCATGCTTGAGGCAACTGCGAAGCCTGTTTACCGAAGTGCCAACAGAAGACGAACATAGACCTGCTAGTCCAGAATTTCTCCCTAGTCAGAAATTTCTGTCACAAACATGACAAAGTGATTGACAATTCACAAAAGCGAGTACTGCCAATGCTTCATCCTTTCAACCAACACAAGATTTAATCGAACTCTGAAAAACACTTTCAATTTCACGCTAAGATGCTACATATTTAAGAGAAAATGTAGAACCCTAATCGTTGATAATTTAATGATTACATCATCCCTTCACAGAGAGGATTACTTTACTTGACCTAGAGCCATGGACTGATTCCTGACCAAGCTAACATGAACACGTGAGATCCCTGAGTATTTTATAAAAGATGACATTTAGAACGCAGTTCTATCATCGGAAACTTCTCCTTAGTCTAACACGAACCATAACGGCTATGGACATCCTCAGAAAGTCTCAAATTGTAATTGCAGTGGCTTTTCTCACTCGATCAGCCCTTCGGAACACCTTACAATAAACTTACAATCAACTCTGTAGCTAGAAAATAGTACCCTGACATTTACATCTCAAGGCAGAGATATTCCCAAGGCACACGACCCCAACGAGCGCATATAAATATGTATATATTCGCAGGTCATTTCGCACTCATCTACAGCAATGCACGTCACCCTCGATAGCCTTGAGAACAATAGACGGCTACTCTATCACCAGTTCTCGAAAATCGCAATGAAAAGATCAGTGACAAACTTCACTTGCCTCCCAAAATTTCTGCACAAATCGAATTACGCAACAGCTGCTGCGGCGCTACCAGAACTTTATATTATTTTATTCTAAATTTTATTTATATATATACACTTCAAAAATCCTGGCAGTCTCGATCCTCTACTGCAAAACCTCGAATGCACATATGGATTGCGCTTCATATTATTCTCTCGCCTGTAAATTGCAATACAACAATATAACCAATCGCGTCGCATATGAGCTGGCACGAAGCTCGAAAATATATTAAAAAAAAACCATGCGCCTACGCAACCCCAGGCAAGGCAGCAAGTAGGAACAGAAAGAGGGAGAAGAAGTGGATCACAGCAATTGAGCTACACAGATCCAAGTCAAACACTATTACTATCTGTCAACCAAGAAGAGGGACGGGCACTAATTCCGGGGAGAGTCAGCAATGTATTTCACGCTCGCGGGGGGGAAAAGGAAAAAAAACACAAGCACGGAGGCAGGGGAAGGCAGCGCACATCAAGAACGTGAGCAAGTGGAAAAGAAAGCAGGCGTTGGAAGTAGGTACGCCGGCATTGCCATGTCGGCCTCCTCCTCCTCCTCCTCCTCCTCCACCTCCTGCTGCTGCTCCTCCTCCTCCTGCTCCACCTCCCACGTTTCCGTATAGGTTCGCCATCGCCACCACAGAAGGACAACAACTACTACAGCTGATGCTGCTGCCAGTCCCGCGATAGGACTTACAATCCCAGGAGTTTTGTCTCTGTGGCGATGGCGATACCGCACTAGAACTGCAGCTGCTGCTGCCGCGACAGGCAACTCAAGTCAATCGCGAGGGGAAAGAGACTTTGAGAGCTCTCGGTGTTGGTGTTGATCGCATCGAGGTAGCTTCGCCATGACGGAGCCGCGTCGCAGCGTTAACCCGAAGGAAAGCACATCGCAGCAGCAGCAGCAGCCTTACCCTACCACCATCCCATGCTTGTGAAGCAGCTACACCTGTACCCGTCTCCTACCCCATGCCCGGCTCTTTCCAGAATGCTTTTTTCACCCTGCCCGGAACCCCTGTCCGACATTTCTGTAACACCTATAACCGTGGATCATGTGACCCAAGACGGCCTTGGGGATATATGGTCATAGGTGCCCCGGTGGGGAAGTAGGGCTCCAGAACTCAGGAGGCTGTTTTCTTAAAATAAGAATAAATTGGCAGAAATTGCTTCAGTTTTTGCTGTTGGCATCGGAGGCGTTGGATGCCGTTGTCAAACGCCGGCTGACCTGTGGAACCTGAATGGGAAAGAACGGTGAGCACAGGCGAAGTATGGGAAAGATGGGCTGAAACAATTCTGGGACGAATGAGAGCGGAAGGGAAAGAAATCAACGCAAACCCACCCCCCCCCCTCCCAAAAAAAAGCATGCACACACCAAAAAGTTTTCCACCTCGGGATCGATCGAGCGAGGTCAATCATGCGACGTTCAAGCCCCGCTCCACCACCTTCAAAAACAAGCTGCGCGAATTTCTACTTCTCTATTGGACCTGCTGTGCCTTGCTGGAAGGCACACGCTTGATTTGGGCCGTTGCTGCTTAGATCCGTCCACCTTTGCGCCTCGTCTTCCAGCGCTCAATCTCCCATTTCCATCCCCTCCCTGCTCTGTGTAAGCATAGGTGGGCCTGTCGGCTTCAGTCCTCTGTACTCTTCCTTTTCCTTTGAATCGTCTTCCCGTTTGTTGCTCCTGCATTGTGGCGAGAGAGTGGAGAGTGGATCCAATCTGGTAGGGGTTTCTAAAAGGATTTGGGAGGATTTTCGGAGTTGGGGTTTTTGGCTGCTAATTGTTTGAGATTTGGATTTGTGTACGGGGCTTAGATTCAAGGAGGAAAAAAATGACCAACGGGGTGCATGCTCTCGGTGACAAGGTGGAGGCCGGGCTTGTGGAGAAGGTAGTAGAGAGTGGGACCACTGTTGCGAAGGCCCCTGTCAAAGAGTTGAAAGTCGTCTTTGTGCTTGGTACGTTTGCCTCAAGCTTTTTGTACCTTTCCGCATCTTGCTTTTTTAGTTCTTTGCGTTTCATCGAATGGAGAGAGTGTGTGTGTGTGTGTCGTTTGGTGATTCACGGCAGAACGAGTTCGTTTTGTGGGTGTGTTGTACTAATGTCACATGAGTGTTGCAGATTATTGGGTATTTGGTTTTCTTTGTCCTTCGCAGAGAATAATGGGTGCTCTATCACATCTGAATGCAGGTGGACCAGGCAGTGGGAAAGGCACGCAGTGTGCCAAGATTGTGGATACTTATGGTTTTGAACACCTAAGTGCGGGTGATTTGTTGCGAGCTGAAATCAACTCCGGCAATGAAAACGGGTGAGCCCCGAATTTTAGAGGATTTGTCGAATGTGCTAATATCATTTCATCCACTTGAGACTGATGTGGTTTTCTTTCCCTTTTCCCTTGATCTTGTTTATACCACTTTGTATTTGTCGACAGTGTTCTTGCATCGTCAATCTGTACAACTTATTGTCTTGTAGTAAAATTTAGCTTTTCTGGTTTGAATCTCGCGGACGCTTTCGTTCTCACTTTAGAATTTACTTGTTGAAGAACAATGATTCAAAACATGATCAAGGAGGGCAAGATTGTCCCCGCGGAAGTGACTGTAAAGCTGCTTGAAAAGGCCATGAAGGAGAGTGATAATGACAAGTTTCTCATAGACGGGTTTCCCCGTAACCTAGATAACCGGAGGTGCTTCGACGAAGTGGTAAGCAGACGCACCGCAGTTGATTTATTATAGAATTTGCAAGCGTCTGACTTTGCTGAAAAAGTCTATCGCCCCCAATAATACCTTTAAGTTGGAATCCGAGACTGTCCATATGATCGAATGGCACGTTACTACCAGAACGCATTCTCTTAGACAGTGGTGGTCAAGTTTGCGGAGATTGTAGAGGATTACCAAAATGATCGTTGTCCGTCTGAGATCTGAATCGAAGATCTTATTGATTGTAACTGCAGACTGGCATCGAGCCGCAGTTTATTCTGTTCTTCGAATGTCCAGAGGAAGTGATGGAGAAACGTCTTTTGGGCCGCAACCAGGTTTGGACTTCCCACTTGATACAATCAAGTATTTGTTTCTACAATCTTTGAGCTGCTGGATTCGATAGGTACGTTGCTTGCAGATGTATTGTTGGTAGCTTGGAACAAGCGTATGAACAATTCTTTTTTTATTTTATTTTATTTTATTACTTACACCAAACCTCTTAGGGCCGGGTTGATGATAACATTGAGACCATCCGCAAGAGATTTAAGGTGTTTATTGAATCTAGTCTACCTGTTGTGAGCCACTACGAGGAATGCGGCAAAGTTCACAAGGTAAAGGTCCCACTGCAACTACATTATAGCCTTCGACCTGCACAAATTCAAGTCTGTACGTCGGATGGAGTAGTTGAATGTTTTGAATGGCTGCATGCCAGAAATTATATCGGTGTCTTTTCCTGAATTTAAGAATCCTTTGTGAAGATCCCCTCTAGCAGATACCCAGTTCTCGTTATTCTAATGGTTCTTTCAAATGTTTTCTACCAGATTGATGCCACAAAAAACCCAGACGAAGTGTTTGAGACGATTAAACCGCTATTTCAAAACTTCAAGCAGGTGAGACCGTTAGTTTGGTCTATGGTATGTTTCCTTTCTCTTCCTCGCTTTGTTATTTGCTGTAAGTGCACGTATTGGGAGCGTCATCAATATGTAGAGTCACTTGTGCAATTAACGATAAAGACCACTTCAGGGCTGGGTGAGACGTTGGAGTAGCTTCGTTTCCGCGTCATTCGACAAGGCATGGCGTTTCTATTTTTGCATGAGTTAACCAGTAAGAGATTATTTAAATTTCTGTGCAGAAAGATTCTGGGATCGAAGGAGAGCTAGTTGAAGCGATTAAGAAACACAATCTTGTGGACACTCCAGTTCCCATTTCAGTTTAGAAACCTCAGGTTTGTCGTCTATTTCTACCTCAGGTTTGTCTGCTACATTTGACTCTTGCACGAGTTTCTCATTAAATGATTGAGAATTTCTTGTGTTGACGTTAATCCACATTAATCTGCCCTTGCAGCTCCTAACGTCTGTCTGTTGGTTGACAGGACAAGGGCTTTTCTTGGTTATTGCTGTATCATTATCCACGTCTACATGGAGAGCAACAATCAGACAGGCTCTTTTCAACCATTCTTTCGTGTTTCCGTATGTAGCACTGATTGGTTCCAACACTCACGACGCTCCCCTCTTTGTGTTTGTCGACCATATTTACTTTCTCACTACGAGCATGTCTTAGCAATTAGTATGGAAGAGGAACTATCACGAGTTTATGAATAAATTCTTTTTAGGCTCCCAATTTTGGTGTTATGAAGACTGTCTCCAACCTGTCACCAAGTGCTCCCTCCACTCGAGCTGTCTGGGCGGATTCCTCATTGAGCTCATGTTTGAATGAAGCGACTGAAATTTTGTGACCAACATTCAGACAAATCTCACAGAACTGGGAATGAAATGGCACTTGAAATCGTTTCAAGGGAATCCCCTGCACATTCGTAGATGTAAATGGCAATGTTTTTGCTATCACACAAAATACCGCCCTTCGTATCTGCATTAGTTTAGTTGGAAAACAAACAAGAGGGGCTCTCAAGCTGAAATTCTGGGCAGCCGCAATCTTGAATACGGCTGATGGGCAGTCACTACCTCCACATTCCTCCACTTTTCTTCTTAAGTTCTCCCAGCTCTTCTTCCACCACAACGATCGTACACCGAAGTAAACCTGCAGACAAGTGATGGCTTGTCTAGAATATCATGTGCTGCCCATCCACATCTTATTTTAATATTTTATCCAATTCTTCTAGTCACTCACGTTGTTGATGGATTTTTCGTCGAAGCCCGAATACTTACTTCATCCTACAGATTGGAATTCTCGGCAGTAACGAAGCATTGCGTTGAATGGAACAGCTATCAATTCAAAGATTAAAGTCTGAACTGAGCCCCGTATGATCATGTCGGGCGTTGGTGCTACGAAGTACAGAGTTTGGGTACTTTGAGGTACTCCTTGAACAATTTTTGAATGCTGCTTCAAATAGTCATGTTGTCGAAGGCATTTACTAGTGTCAAATTCATCACAGTTTTTTCTGTTTTTTTTTTTTTTTTTTTTTTTTTTCAATTACTGGGTGTCTGATTTTTCATGAACTTTGCAAGCGCGGAAGTAATGGCATGCCAAAGATGTACACTCAGTCACAATTGGCGTTGAGCTTGATGTTACTTGTAGCGCACGAGGTTTCCAATATATAAAAAATAAGAATAAAAATAAACACGTGACTAGGTTGATTTGCATAAGAAAGAAACATGAAAACTGTAAAGAAAATACACCCACACATGTGATACTCGACGACATTTCTGTTAGATGACACTTTCATGTGTTACTAAAGAAGGCAGATATAAAACAAAAAAAGAATTGCAATTTTATCTTTTATGAACATATTTAAGGTTGATTTTAATAAAAAATTAATATTCAATTGCAGCTTAAGATTTTATAATTATGATAAAGATGTTTTAGTTGTGTGTATATTAGAAAAAGAATGTTCCCTTGAATCATATTTGGCTAAGGCTAAATGTAAAATTTTAAACACAATAAAATTTTCTACATATATTTATACATACATATATCACATATCTAAGAAAATTTTATGTGGTTTTACAGTTGACCTAAGAAAGCAATATATCACATAGGCTTGTGTATGCAATTTTGAACTTTGTTAATTTAAAAGCCATAATAAAGGTGTAATAGATATTTAAATTTGATTTGATTATTTTATCATTTTATTCTTTAATCATTTTGTTAACTTTTTGTAGTGTAATTAATATTTTATCATTTTTGTTATTTTCATTATAGTCTTTTAAGTTGTTAAATTTTGATTTCATATTATGTAGATATAATAAAATTAATTAGCATTATCTTTACAAGTACGACATAATAAAATAAGTTTTAAAACAATTTTACTATGCCTAAGTTGGAACCCACATCAGCTAAAGTATTTTGTAATTGTTAAATCTTGAAAAAATGGCATTAACATCATATTAGACAAGAATAAAATGACCATTATTTGATATGCATTCTATGTTGTATCTATATTTGATTCTAATCTGTTGAAACATTTGTTTATTTATTTACATATTAGGGTATAAGAATGATAATTTTCAATATTTTTGGTAGATAGAAACATAATTTATTGCAATAAATTATATTACTAGGAGATAGAAATGGATATCATAGTTTAAATATTTACAAATATAAATACATATATATATATATATATATATATATATATTCTGGCTATATCAATATATTAAAAAAAGTTATAATGGAATGTACTCTAGATCACATATTTAGATTTAACTTTAGTTAGGTAGAAGTACAATTATCCAGATTGTATATAATAGTATTGTATTCTTATTAATAATTAAAACCTTTGTATTCATGTGCATTAACTACTTTTAATCTTATATGCTACTCTTATCTGTATGTGAATCTCATGTCGTTTATTAAATATTGTATGATTATTCAAATATAGATTATTTGTTTCACATATTTTTTACATATATTTTTAAAATTTTATGCTTTTATATTATTTTTTAAACAATTATCTATATATAAATGTAAAATATAAAATTAATAAATTGTATGATATAAATATTTATAAATATCACATGTAATGCTAAAATATTATCTCTCATACTTGTAAATGTATAAAATTATTAGCTACAACCTAAAAATAACAATAGTAATAATAATTTGTTCTAATTATATAATACATAAAAGATATTAATTCTTCTATTATAATTGTGATTGTTTTTTAAAAAATCATATATTGTTAAAAAAATTACTAACTATTTCAAATACATAAATATTAAACACTTTTTAGCTTTATGACAAGTACAACATTCATAAAATTATATATGTATTTTTATAATTTATAAAAATCATTCAATTTTTTTTTAACATGATCAAACTTGTTAATAAGAATGGATCAGTCTACAATGTAATCTAAAATTTTATTAAATTAAGTTTAAAGATATCTATAAGTATTTCTAAAATTATCCTATTGACCAAAAATTAAATTATATATATATATATATATATATATATATATATATATATAAATTTTAAATATTTTAATAAAATTTTATAGTACACAATGCTCGTTTAATTTCTTGATTTTTAATTATTATCACATGACATGTTCTAAACACAACTTATATTTGAACTATTATTGATGAAGACAAAAAAAAAGAAAGAAAATAAATCAGCAATAACATTTTTTTAAACTTCAATTTTTTTAACAAATTTGTATATTTTATGACCTACAATCTATGATTACAATTTGTAATATTAGAGTACCTATATTATTTTTGGCACATAAGCCACGACAAAAAAAAAAAAAAAAAAAAAAAAAATGTATATGTAATCAAGTACACATAAAATCAAAATGTTTAATTTAAAATTAATTTCATATTATTATAATATTATCTTTAATTAAAATTTTATATAATATACATCAATTAACTAATGAAGGTGCTTTCTTTTTAAAAAATTATTTTTATAGTCATTGATACCAATTTTGTATCTACTTCAACAAGTAATAACTATACTTTGGCTTTCTATTTTGTATTCATATATTTTAGGATCTATGAAGACATATTTTGTATGTTTGGTGAAATTGAATTTGCATTCACAAAAACCATCAATTATTCTTTGAATTATATATTTTTTCTCATTTTCCTTTGTAGATTTGTTTTAGGGTTATTTCCTACTAAGTCTTTATTTGACCACCAAATATATATATATATATATATATATATATATATATATATATAATTTATCTATTTATATAGTATTTTGACTTAATTAAAAATATATATGATATTTTAAACATTTTGTGTTGTTTTTTGTGATTACATTTTGTTTTATTTCATGTGGTTAAAAATTATACTTGTTTTTAGTTAGTGTATTGTTTGTTGATTTTTGACATTTAACTCAATGCTTAGGCTATAAGTACACCCCAAAAGAGGAGAGGAGTAGAATCTGCTATGGGACAAGGAAGAAGGAGAGGAGGTTCAAGATCTATGCTAGGACAAGGAAAAAGGAGTCTACATCAGCCAATTAAAAGTCATGAGTCATATAGTAATTTGGGTTGTGCTTGTAGCATGAGTGTTATTTAATGCTTGTTGCTTAATGACATATATTACATTTTTATATAAAATTTCTAATTTATTTTTTAATTGATAAATAATCATTTCTAAAGATATTAAATATTTTAATAGATGTAATGTAATTCTCTTTTATTAAAAGGGAATTTTATAATTAAAACCAAACATTTAAATAGGCATTATTCAAAAAGAAATCAAATTAAAATGCGAGTTGGCAGAATTGTATGCGGCTGTGGACTGCGGATCAACCATCCCGGTTGCCCAAGTGAAGTTGCAACCAGATTTTGGTTGTAAGATGCTTTAGGGATGCGACTGTGAATCACTGTCATCGTTGGTTCGACCATTGGCATCTCCGCGTTTTTAAGAAAACCTGCATTCGTGTATCAGACCCTCAAATTGAACGTTGATGCTACCCAAAGCAATATGCGCAATTGGAGCATAAGGTTGATGCGAAGGGTGTAAAATGTTACCAGTTCATGTGAATCGTTCCTGAAGACAAAGACAGAATTATAGAAAGCTCAATTACTGTTTAGAAATAGTTATGATATTACTCACTTCTGTTGTGTTTTTCCCCCAATGGAGTATGGTTCCGAAGAGGCATCTTGCTTCCACATGGACGGAGCTGTTCATCTTGCAGGATTGCTTGCATGCATTGCTACTCTGAATTTCTCCCTGAGTCTCACAAAACCAAGCTGCCATTGATGGGATCTTCGTACAAATGTACCCTTCTGTCACAGATCATTGTTTAAACTTTCCTCTGGAGAATATCAGTCATTTTTGAACACCAATAGCGATGGCTTCACCTTACGAGCGTCTTTCGGGCCTCTGTGACTTCTCCCAGCAGCAATGATCAACACGACAAACATTGATTATCATGCAGAAGAATTCAGGTCTGGGCACTGAGACAGACCCCATTGACTGAGCCAAGCTCGAGTACTGGTACTGAATCGCCAAGTTTCACTGGCAATGGCAGTAATTGTTCTCTGTCCAACGCACAAGATGTGACACAATGGGGCTGATTTTTGAGCGGGCGGCGAGTTGCGGCCACTGTCGATTTTGCAATGCAGGTTGAAGGTCTTACTCAAAAAAAAATCCAACGCTCCATGTGCTCTCCGACTGTACCCAGTACTTGAGCAACGTCACCCAGATACCCACCC